AGTGCAAATGAATATCTACTAAAGAAAATCAGTGCACTACAATAAAAGAATCATAAGCTATTCATACATAGCCACATCCAAGGACACAACATGCATATCATACCCAATGAAGAGGCACAACACCCCACATTAATTATCAAATCTGTTCCATGGGATTAGGTCCTATTCCTTTGGCATGTTAGACACATAGCCACCACTTGCACCACACACCGTAAAATACATCTAGGGTGGAGGCCAAAGTCAAGTGCATAATATAACATGCATATCATTCATTCAAGAAATATAAGGCGGAACCCAAACTCACTTGGGTTCCCAAATCTAACCCTTGATTGACTTTGTAGGGATATGCTCTCACAAAAGGCCTAGTGAGAGCATGTGGTATATGAACAGTGGATGCTCACTACACATGACTAGAGATTTTAAGTAATTCATCACGCTCGAGGCTGGGCAGGAGAAAAAGTTACATTGGAAGATAACACCATTAGGAAAGCAGTTGGCACAAGTATGATTGACAACTCAAAGAACTTTATTATTGATATGTTTTAATAGTAAAGGGTTTGAAACAAAACTATTTGAATATTAGTCAATTATGTTATAAAGATTTTGATATTTAATTTATATATACTAAGTATTTAATTAGCTTAAATGAAAATATTATTTTAGAAGAAAAATTAATAAACAACATTTACATGCTTGACTTAAATTGTGTTGATTGTTAAAATTCCTTATGTTTAAAAACTATTGTTGATGAATCCTAGTTATGGCATAGGCGACTATGTCATGCAAGCATGAAAAAACTTAGAAAGATTACCTAGAAAGACCTAGTTAGAGGTATATACAAGCTAGATTTTTATACGGACCACCTTTATGATGTCTGCCAATTAGGAAAATAATTCAAATGATCATTTCATTCTATTAAGGATATTATCATCTCTTGGCCACTAGAAATCTTAAACATGGACTTGTTTGGGCATGTTAATAAAACCATATTAGGAGGGAAAACTTACAGATATGTAACAGTCAATGATTTATCTAAATTCATATGGATTAGGTTCTTATCTTATAAGAGTAAATCATTTAAGGAGTTTAGAATGTTCTCCACTTGGATTCAAAGAAAATTATGATGTGAAATTTCAACTATCCATTGTGATTATAATGGAGATTTTAAGAATGATAAGTTTGAATCATACTATAAGGAGCTAAGAATAGAACATAATTTTGCTACCCCTATTAGTAGAATGGGGTAGCTGAAAGAAAGAATAGAACCTTAGTAGAAGTTGCTAGGGCTTACATAGCTATAGAAAGCTGTGTTGCTTAAGTTTTATGGATGAAATAATAAATCCTTGATCTTGGACTATCTATAAGCATCATGCTTATCATGTTGACAACACTTTTCTAAAAATCCAATTCAACACTCCCACACTAATTATATAGACATTGGACATTATTTTATCAGAGATTATATAACAAAGGAAAATATATGACTGTATCATGTAGCCATTAAAAATCAATTGACAGACATTTTCACCAAACCCTTAAACTATGATACTTTTAGCACAACAAGGACAGTCAGAATGCGCAAATCAATTGACAGACATTTTCACCAAATCCCACTTGCTATCATCTAAAGGAGACTATAATTAGAGTGCTATAAGCCTCATTATTAGGGATGCCCCATTGAATCAACATTAACCTCTTATCCACTCTCTTAATCAGAATGCGCAAATCATCCAACATATCCTCAGAACTTCAATTCTAGCTAAAGCTAGGGATTAAGTTAATATCACCCCACTCTTGTCTTTAGTTATATATTTCATTATGTTTGACACTTAGTTTGATGAGGCTCACATGATTATCAGCTACTTAAAAAATGTCACTTATATCTGTCTACCTTTCACCAAACAAAAATAGAACATTGCTTTAGGACATATAGTAGCCTATGCCCTCAACCAAAAATATTAACTTATCTATCATGGCACTGTAGACTATTTTTCCTACCTTCTACACTGACAGCTCATTTCACGTTCATTTTTGCCGACACTAGATAAATAAGACAGTCGATGAGCTAGATTTTGATGAAGCGGTGGGAGATCTTCCTACTCCACCACTAGCTCCAGCACCCGCACCTACACCAGCTCCTATAGCAGCCCAATATGATCTTTACAACACAGTGGTAAATGGCTTTGCCAACTTAAATACCATGATCATCTCACATATTAATGAGAACAATCAGCATTGGGAGGATATATGTCAGTATAAAGAAGCCTTCCTACAATGACACTAGTAGTTATAAAAGTAGCATGAGGCTAATAAGGAGTGGTTCACCGAGCATTTTTTGCTCATAGTTGTTTTTTTCTACCAACACCACCACCTGATAAGGAATCATCCTACTTCTAGGAATGAATTTTGTTGTAATTCATGTTGGTGTCTTCTACTACCTTTTCTATTTTATGCTTGTATTTTCTTTCTTGTATCATTGTTCCTCCTTTTTGTGATGTTAAAAAGGGGAAGTAGTGTTTGGCTTGTTAGCTTGTAGCTCATTCTTATTCTATTTAAGTCTGATTTTCTTTTATGATTATGTTCCTTTTTTTATTTTCGATTTGAAAAAAATATTTTATTTCTTTATTTTTAAAATACTTCACTTAGTGAGGGGGAGCTTAGGAGAAAATATAATTAACTTGTAATTTTAACAAAAAAAAAATATTTATCAACATCAAATAGGGGTGATTATTACAAACTAGAATCTCAAGCTTATATTTTTTATAATAATAAATATTATTGAATGAATCTCTTCTCCTAGTATTTAAATTGCATATCTACTTTTTATGTGTACTAACATTTCAAGTGAACCATAAACCATCTAAGAAATTTCAAGACTTAAGAGTGGGTAGAATGAGATGATGTTTACAAGAGCATGTAACCTTCATTTCTTTATTTTTTTTTTCTTGAGTCAAAGTCATGTAAGGGTGTATGTTATTTTGGCAATCATGCATACATACACTAAGGAGTGAGAAAATGAATTTAAAAAAATTGAATTAATCGTACTGTACGATTAAGATCACATTGAATGATCAGTTATTAAAAAAAAGGATAATTCTATAATTAATGTTTTTAAACTAATCATGGAGTTTAAACATGATTGTCTGCATGTATGATTAGTTTGACCAGAAAACCCTAGCCACCAATCAAATTTAAGTAATTTAAATTTTTATTTTTTAACTAATTATACTATATGAATATGTTTATATGATATGATATTTAAAAAATTACTTAAATTAATCCCCATGATTATTCAATCAAAATAAATTTTAATTAGTATGGCAGATAGAACAGCACGAATTGGATCATACTGTATGATAGGCAGAGACAAAATATGATCATCTCGAAGATCATCCTGGATAAAACCTTAATTTTTGAACTAATCATATAGTATGATGGAAATCAAACTGGATGACTAGTAGAGATAATTTTTTATTATCCCAAAGATTATCCTGTGCAATCTTAAGATAAATTAAACTAATCATATTGTACTATCTATTTATCATAATATGTGATCGATATCTAAAATTTGAATAGCTCATTCTACTGCTATTCCGTTATACTGAGTGAAATATGCTTTTTAAACTAATCATACTATATGATCCTTGATCGTACTATACGAACAGAGTTAACATAATTGAATTTTTAGAATTTTTTAAAGAATTGTATAAAATATTTCTTATTATACTCTTAAGAAATCTTTGGTTATTGAAGGAATTATAAGAGAGAGCTTTGTGAGGTCGTTGAGCATTAGAGAAGGATAAAGTGAAATTGTGAGAGAGGGAGAAGTAATGTGACGGGATTCCACATTGTTGCTTTAAGCAGGGTTTCACCTTGATTCCTCTAGTGGCTTTGTTGGTCTTTTAGGGTTGTTATGCAGTGAAAGCTTCAAGGCTGAAGATCGTTAGATTCGCTGCCTTCACTAAGAGGGTGAAAAAAGATTCAAAGGTTCTTTACCTTTACTAGGAGGATGAAAAAGGATTTATGTACTCTATCGCATTGGGTCAGTGGAAGAGAATGTGTAAGGGCTATTTTGCCTTGATGGGGGCTAAAGGAGAGACACTAAAGATTTACTGAAATACCTGGAGAGGACTCCAGAGAGTGGATGCTGGTAGAGTTTTGACCAAACCACTATAAAATCGAGTGTGCTCGTTCTACTTCATTTTTTAGTATTTTTTTTCTTGCAATTTAACTTCTTTTACAATTATTATTCTTACAAATATGTGTTATGATTATAAATCTTCGGTAATGTTGATTATTATTTCAAAAGAAACTAAAAATTGAAAAATATATTTTATTATTTATTTTTTGTTGCAAAAATCAAAAGAGCAAAATAACATAGCTTTTATAAAGAATTTCTATATTTTTAATAATTATAACTATATTGTTGAATTAATTATATTATTATACATACTTGTATCTTTTATTTTAGTTATTTTATTTACTCTATTTGTTGATTGCATATTAATGGTTATATACTTTATAAACATAGAAAGGAACATTTGTTGTTTGATGCTGAAATAGAAAGAACCCTTTCAAAAATTTGAAAAACTAAAAATATTATAAAAATGGTGAACATATATTAGATCAAGATCATTCTATACCTCTTGGGGATGATGCTAACCCTTTAGTAGATAAAATTTCTCATAATATTAATAAACTTATGATCCAAGCAAATAATTTTGTATTTAAGCCTACCATAATTCAAATGGTTAAAAATTCTCAGTTTGGGGGAGCTCCTGTTGAAGATCATAATGTACACTTAGCCAATTTCTTAGAAATTTGTGTAACATTTAAGTATAATGGTGTCAGTGAAGATGCTATTAGAATTCAATTGTTTCTATTCTTTAAGAGAAAAAGCTATGATGTGGTTGAATTCTTTACATCTAGGTTCTATAACCACTTGGAATGAGTTGGTTCATAAGTTTCTTGCTAAGTATTTCCCACATTCAAAGACTGTTAAACTCAGAAGTAATATCATTTCTTTTACACAATTTGAGGGAGAATCAATTTATGAGAGTTGGGAGAGATTTAAGAAAATACTTACGAAATTCCCTCACCATGCCTTACCCATGATTGGTTGGGTATTTAAATATTTTATAATAGATTAGTATGATATCTTGGAGCAATCATAGATGTTGTAGGTGGAGGATCGTTAGTGTATAAACCGTTTAAGGAAGCATATGAACTAATAGAGGTAATGGCTACTAATAATTTTTAGTGGTCTGTTGATAAGGTAAATCTTAAGAGAGTAGTAGAAGTATATGAATATGATGCTTTTTTAATTTTGACGGCACAAGTTGTAGCAATTTCTAAGAAGTTGAGTATAGTAGAAGAAAGTATAGAATTCAAAACTAAATTATCCAAGCAATTAGAGGATCAAAAGTTAATTGAAAATAATAATGTGCAAGGGATTGAAAATTTTTGTTTGATTGGAAGACAAAATAATCCCTAGTGTAATACATATTATTCAAGTTGGAGGAACCATCCTAATTTTAATTGGTCAAATAATATTGTTGGCAACAATCAATGAAAGTCTAATCAAAATAATCAATTATTTGATTGGAATAATCCTTATCAATTTTTTGTTAATCATATACTTGCATATCTTCTAGGATTTAATCAAAGCAATCAACTTGGAAGTATAAAATCACTGTTGGAAGATGTAGTGATTAAGTTAGGGGCTCAATTACAAAATCAAGATAATTCAATTATGCACTTCGAAATCTAATTATGTGAACTTGGAATTTTAGTCAATAGTAGATCTCTTGGATCATTGCCTAGTAATACTGAAGTTAACCAAATGGAAAAAAGAAAATGTTTCAAGATAAAATCATTTGAAGATTAGTAGCAATATATCGCATCCAAATTTATAAAGCTAGGCAAGTCTAGCTAAAGACTATAAACTTAGTGTTATATGGGAGGCAAAGCAACTTTTAATTTTTATTTTCTTAGTAGATTAGATATAATAATAATTGTCATTAATTAAATAAATTTTTGAGAGTGAAAGGAGAGCTGTAGCATTGCTTATAGTGAAACTACGCTTGGTCATGTCGCATTAGTTTAAAATTAAAATTTTGGTACTTTACTCTATCACTTTATTACTTGATTCAACATGTATATTTGCATATATTAAGTGGAGTTTTATTATTTTTATATTAAAAAAAATTGAGCATTATTTAGGGGTGATAGAGCCATAGATTTTTATACAATTCAAAGTTAACTCCATAGCCCTCATCAGTAGCTTATTTTTTCTCTTTTGAATTAGATTGAGCTAATACATAGCCCCTATCAATAGCATATCTCCTACTTGATCCTTAAGATGTCCTCTTAAATATTGGGCATTATATTGAACAATTGGAATAAGTGATAGTGTGCATAAGGGTATATAATTCATCTTTGTGTACATAATGAAAAGTATGTATTGGATTCAAATTTATTCTGGGCAACATCATGGCCTTTTTAGAGAGTTAAGATAGGAAGATATGGCAAGGGTAGGATGAAAATGAGTTTGTAAGGAAAAGAACTCGTGAATTCACTACTCTGTATGAATAGTGAAAATATTATAATGATGCAAGAAATTCATCTCAACCTATTATTTATAGGGTTGAAAAGGCTATAATAGATGTTAAACCTAGATAAATTATAAATAACACATTATAAATATGTGGACAAGTATCTCTAGATACAAGTGGGTAACCATATCTAACATAACTATGGTTATCTTAGGTGAGATACTATAGTAAGTGCTCTTGATGGTTCCTCTCGAATGAAAGACTAAGTTGAATGCCTTGAGCTAATTCTTTTGAGTTAGAGATTGGTAAGATTAATGAAGTTGTTATTATGGGGTTTTTAGGTGTGTTCCTCTTATAGTTTGAATGAGGGACCCTCTAAGTTATAATTCATTATAGTTGGGGTAAGGTATCCTTTAGGGTGATTTATCCTAAGGCGAGTACCTCCTTGGATTGAGGTTTATTAATGTGAGTTTTTTTTTTAATAAAACAAGTCTAAGGTGTATAATTATTTGGTCAAGCTCATCTTAGGCGAGCTTCAGTAATTTGAGTGTATTCCTATGATGCCTCAGAATCTATTTTGGAAGAATTATTTTCATAACATTCAATAATTAATAGCCAAAGCTACCTAATTTCTTTTATGAATATAAATACCAGTATAAATAAAACTATTAATTAAAACATCAATATATACATTTGTATTTACATGGATCAAAATATGAGTTATTACATCTCCCTTGTTAAATCTTTCTAGGGATGGTTCCCCTCTTGGCGAAGCATATTTTGGATTAGTACACCTCCTAGTCGAGCTCCTTTATGGCAAATTCGACTAATCCTTATGAGTAACTTATTGTTAAGTGTAAAATGTTTATTGTTTATTATGTGTAAGTTTAATAAAAATTTATTATTTTAGTAGTTTTTATGCAAAAAATATATATGAAAAGACAAAAATGATAAGTGTTGAACAATGTCACAATGTTCGATTTCACAACCCCTTAGTAGAAAATTTAGACATTACATTGACATATTCTCTATTTTAAAGCATCACAGTGTCACTAAGGTCTGTGTCACAATGTTACACAATGTCATTGCACCCAAATTCAGCATTGCAGTATTAGAGCCTCAAGAAAATTAGCTCTGAAGTGTTGATCCTTATATTTCCTCAACGCCAAAATTCACATTCCTGCGCTACAATGCTCAAACTTATGGAGCATCATGACATAGCATTTTTCAGCATGAGGAGCCACGTTGACTTAGCTAAAAGATGCAATGTTTCAATCATTTACCGTACTAGGTTAGTCAACACTATAATGGAGCCAAAATTGCAGCATCGAAGTGTCAATTCATTTTATACTACCACAGTGCCACCTTGTTAGTGATGCAAAGGTTGAGCCCATCCATATACTTCCTATAAATAGTTTATCAGTTCTATTATTTAGAGAGTTATATCACTTAAGTTAAATTTTATTATGTTAAGTATATTTCTTTAGTGCCCCTTATAGTAAAGTCTAAGGGAGGCTAGGAAAGTGTAAGATACCTTTTCTTATAGAGATATTAGCCTATTTGTGTAAGAAACTCTGTGGTTGGACGAAGGAGTGTGGAAAAGATCATTTGATCCTTCCGAGTGATAATTTTCTATTACTTGTCTTTTATCTTATCTTTCAATGAAAGAATTGAAGATGAGTTTGCTTACTCTGTTTTTCATGTCTGACTAATTCTCTAGTTTTAGGTTCATGATATACAAAGCATAACAAGTATTGATACAGACTCTTATTCCTTAAATGATAAAATAATTTTTTTAATATCCCTCATTCTTCATTTTATATATACAATGGCCACATGTGCTATTAATATCTAGTATAATGTATAGTCTTGACAGAGGAATGTTGGAATAATTATCATATTATCTCATATACTTCAGATTCGTTAAGACTTAAAAAGAGTTTCAAACCTTTTCATTTTTTCAATCATTGAAAAAACTGAATAATTCAAGTTTCATTTAAAATAATCATTTTGGCTAACTATTTTGATGTATATCATAACTAAAAAGGCAATAGGAACTAAAATGAACAGTGCAATAGAAATAAGCGTAAGAATATTAACTTCCATAATCTCTTTATTTTCTTCTTTCACAATAATTTAGGATCTAATCCCATAGAGATGATAAAGAGCAAGATCTGAGATCCACATCTATGATTTGAAAGGTTTGAATGATCAAATTTGCAATCAGTTGTTAGAATATATATGTGCTCAAATCGTTCATTTGAAGAAATTGAAACCCTTCTTATTGGATGATCATGATACTTCCCAAAGACAAAAATTCTTGATCAATGGAGGAACTATATTACCATTTTTGTTCAAAAAAATAACAAATTGAGTATTGAAACGTAATGTTGCCATTCCTAAACATAGGATGTTTTAATATTCTAGGTTATATGGATATAAAAAATTATAGGATGGCTATAAATGTTTCTTTTTATTCCTACGAGCTTGATAGAGATCTAGGAAAGCATATGCTCCGATGCACATCTTAAATCAAAAGAGTCTCATTAAGAAAACTATGTTATTTATATTTATTAGTCTAAAATACTTTATTTTCATAAGTATCAAAATCTCCTTACAATTATTTCTTTCAATGATAAAAACTCAAAAACATCTTTTTTATTTATTTATTAGTAGGATAAGTTATGCATTTGAAGTAAGAAGCAGTAGTTAAGTTACAATTAAGTAAAATACTTCTCATGGGTTTGATACTCTACTTTATCACCTTATTACTTTATTTGACGTGTATACTTACATATTTTAGTGGGATTTTATTAATTTTATATTAAAAAATCCAAGAATATTTCAAACTCAATAAGTCACATAGAAGCTCACTATAAGCCCCCGTCAAGTTTTTGGCATCATTTCCAAGGAAGTAATATATCTGTTGTAATTTTTACTATATTAATGAAACAATTGTATATTTAAAGCTACTTGTACCATGTATCTTTATTCTATTTCATAAAAAATTTTAAAATCCAAAAAAAAAATATTTTGTTGATTATTTAGCTCATGATTTTTATTTTAGTTATTTTATCATTATTGCATGCTTGGTAGATCTAGTTAAGGAGCCATTGTTGTTAGACCCTAAAATAGAAAGGACCTTTACAAAAATTTGAAAAACTAAAAAAAAAAAAAATTTGGAGATGTCTAAACTAGTGCAAAATCATGACCATTCAAGACCTCTTAGGGAGTATGTTAACCATGTAGTAGAAGGAATCCATCAGAGTATCAATAGACCTACTATCCATGCTAATAACTTTGAACTGAAATATGTCACAATTTAAATGGTTAATTTTTTTTACTTTGGGAATACTCATGTTGAAGATCTCAACTTATACTTGGTCAATTTCTTGGAAATATGTACAACATTTAAGTTTAATGGTGTTATTGATGATATTATTAGATGTAGATTATTCTCATTTTATCTAAGGGACAAAGCTAAGATATGTTTATGTTCAGGCTCTATAATCAGTTGGAATGAGTTGGCTCATAAATTCCTAACTAAGTATTT